AGAGGAGAGGAGAGGAGAGGAGAGGAGAGGAGAGGAGAGGAGAGGAGAGGAGAGGAGAGGAGAGGAGAGGAGGGAAGGGAAGGGGATCAGAGGAGGGGAGGGGAGAGATTAGGAGAGGAGAGGAGGGAAGATAGCAGGAGTGGACAAGTAGATACGCGAAGACTCGGAGGTTGTGTTGGTGTGGTGGGTGATGGGATGGGGTGTGGGAGTAGAGCTTCAGAGTCGAAGGTCAACAAGCAGGGTGGAGGACGGGGGTGTGAAAGTGACAAACGACACATCTCAACAACAGTGGCAGCGAGTCTGAACTAACATGGAACCATGAAGTGACATCTTACCTCTCCTTGCTGCAGGAGGATCGTTACCCTTCGTGATGGCCAAGATGACCAGAGCCGAGCTTGCAAACGTTCTCCTGAGCTCGATCAAGAAGAACCCCACGAAGCTGCAGAGCGAGGACGAACTGGAGCTAGACGTCGAACGGCGGTGCAGGGCCATCCTGGAAGAGCAGAGGCACAAGGAGGAGGAGCACGACAGAACTCTGAGGATCATACCCCGCCTGTTTGTGAAGAAGGACACGAATCGCAATGAGATCTCGGAGATCATCAAGCAAGAAGCTCGGATGCGCATGCTGAAGCGCCAGGAGAATATCCTGCTAGAACAGGAGGAGCTGAACCTGATCTACGACCTCCTCCTCCAGTACTCCAGGCCAGACACGACCGAGGACTCGACGCCAACATCCCCAGAGTCTGAGCTGGCCAAGTACAAGACCGAGCGGGTGCGCATCAACTACGACGGTTTCTGTCAGGTCAGGATGCAGCTGAACGACAAGGTGGAGTATTACTTCAGGCCCTCCGTCTTCCTGCAGCTCCCGAGAGACAAGCTCGGGTGCATCTCAGTCTCAAGATTTTACGATGTCAGTCCCTCCTGCTACATCTTCCTCCCCTCCCCTCCTGCCCTTCCATCCCATGTCCTTCAATCAGCTGGAGCACTTGTTGCTGCTCTTCGCCCTCTCCCCTCCTCCCCCTCTGCTTCTTCCTGGTGTGACTCAAACATGCAGTACATCCTCTGCCGAGACGCTCTCCTGCGCAAGCGCATCTCACTGGCATGGCATGACAGCACAGGGTCGGGATTCTTGACGGAGCAGGAGCTCGAGAACTGGATCCAAGAGGAGATTTCAAACTCTCCCATCCTTTCCAAGTTAGAGAAGAGCTACCAAGCTTTCTACATCTGTCACGCCGCCCGCCGCTTCCTCTTCCTCTTCGACTCCTCCCAGCGGCACAAAGTCCGCATTCGAGAGCTTATCAAGAGCCCGGTCCTCGACGAGCTCCTCATCCTCCGGCAGGAGCTGACAGAGGAGGAGCTGCAAGGGAACTGGTTCGCTCCTGCAACAGCCCGGGAGGTCTACGAGATGTACACCAAGCTCGACCTCGACCACAATGGCCTGCTCTCACAGGAAGAGCTTCTCCGTTACAGGGGATCGTACCTGACAGAGGTGAGGCATCGCTGCTTCCACCTACTCCCCTTCCCTCTCATTCTTCTCTGCGTTTCATCTCTTTCATTTAGTTTCCTTTGCACTCCAATCTTGTATCTCTCCCCTTCTTCTCTCTTCTTCCTCCTCCCTCTCCTCGTCCTCACTCCATTCTCTTTCCTTCCTCTTTTCTTCTCCAGCTCTTCACGAGACCTCTGCCAGGCTTTCGTCCAGCGAGTCTTCGAGGAGAGTCAAACCTTCAATGGCTACATCGACTTCAAGGTCGCCAGAGGATGAGGAAGTGGTGGTGGTTGTGATGGTGGTAGCTGAGGAGGAGGAGGAGGAAGGGCGGGTGGAGTAGGGGTGGGTGGGATTGGGGCGAAGGAGGAGAGATTGAAATGCATCTTCAGGCTTTCCTGGACTTCGTGCTCGCAATGGAGGACAAGGGGTCAAAGTCGGCTCTGCACTACTTCTTCCGTATCCTCGACCTGCGCAAACTTGGAGCCATCGGCATCTTCGAGATCAATTACTTCTTTCGTGATGTTCGCAAGCATCTTATCAAGGACGACCTGCCGGTTGAAGTCGCACAGAGAAAAATCCACCTTCTGCTCCTTCTGCTCCCTCCCTCTTTGTTCTCCTTTACAGCTTTTACCAATGTCTTTCTCTCCATTTCATTTTTGCTGACCACTATTCGTTCATTGACTCAGTCTCTCCTATCCCCTTCTCCCCTCCCCTCCTCGTCTCCTCGTCTCTTCCCCTCTCTTCCCCTCCCCTCCCCTCCTCCCCACTTCCTCTCCCCTCCTCTTACACTCGTGCACAGGCTCCGTCTGTCGAGGATGTCACTGACGAGATCTTCGACATGGTGCCGCTCTTGAGTCACAACGACCCTCCAGCTAATTCCCTGCAGGTGAAGCCCAAACAACCGCACGGCATAACTCTGGAGGATCTCGTGAATTCCAACGTGGGAGATACGGTCTGCATCCTCGATGCTCCTCTCATCGCGCTCACTTCTCCTCCAGGTTGTCAGCATCCTGACTGACATCGAGGTAACTCACTCGTTCTATTCCTCTGCTCCTCTCCTAATGCCCCTGCTCTCCCTTCCCCTCCCCTGCTCTTTTCCCCTCCATTCCCTCTCCAGATCTCCTTTCCTTTCCCTCTCCCCCTTCCGTTGCAAACAACGGCCGACCATGTTTGCAGGCCTTCTATCATTACGACAACAGGGAATCTCTCATCGCACAGCAGGTTCTCCTGCTCGCTCCTCCCTCCTCCTCCGTCCTCCCTCGTGCTCGCTCCTCCCTGCTCGCTCCTCCTCCCTCCTCCTCCCTCCTCCCTCCCCGCTCCTGCTCGCTCCTCGCTCGACAGGCGCTTCTCTCAGGCCTCTCTCTTCTTCACTGTCGGAAGTTTTCTAATGTCTGACGTTGGGTATCGATAGGCACACGAGGAGCACGCTTGATGGATGAGCCAGGACTTGAATCAGCTATTAGTATTCTCAATCAGCCTACCTCAGGCTATGTATATTATGTAATTCAAACACTGTGCCATGGGACGATCTTCTCAGTCCGGCTGCAGCCTGACTTTCCGGGCCTCGAGCCACTAAGCGACCACGAACCGGCGAAGATGTTGGCCAGGCCCGGGCTGTCCCGGCTGGGCCGGGCTCAGTGTACGGTTCCGGGGATTCCGCGGCCCGGGCCCGCCCATGATCGACGTGGTCTACCATCTTTCAGGTTCCTGTTCTAATCCATCATTACCCACCCCCATAGCGAAGTCTGACTCAATTCAACAAACTTAACACCACCCCTACCCCCCTACCCCCCAAATTACTATCAATCACCCCACTCTCCTAGTCAAATTTTCACCTCTCGCTCACCTACTCCCGATGTTAACGACAAGTACCGGCTGTCTAGGCTACCCCTACCCCCCTGAATAGCACCGGCCTACCCACCTTGGCCCCCGTTGTCGCAACAAAGCATGGCGTGGAGATGATGAGGAGGGAGGTTAGAGAGGTAGAGATGTCGATGATGATGACGATGATGATGATGTAACGGATCAGATATGTTCAAGGAGGAGATATGAAGGTCCTGAAGTGAGAGGGAATAGCAAGGAGCCGATGGTTGGGCAGCGGAAGTTCAGGTACAGTTATGGGGTCCAAGACAAGAACATGAATGACGTTGATTGCTGTACCGAGATCTGATCAGGGAGGTGCATGTGTAGTAGAACATTCAAGGTTTCACTTCATGGTACATCGGCTTCAGATCTTTTACACGTTGGTTCAATCAGTTCTTGCCCAATTTCCTTTTTTGTCGAGAATACGAGGTCATGGAGTTGGTGTCTTCAGGGCCGAAAGAAGAAGTTCATCAGGAGGGGCCGGTAGACATGAAGAGACACCATCATAGTTCTTGGTCATCTCCTGCTGATGTGCATCCGTCCTCCTTCCCTATCATGTCCTACTCACTGAGTGATGCTGCCAGGACTCAGTCGCTGTCGAGAAACTTGAGTTTCAACCATGGAGCACGAGCTTGACGAAGACTGTCTGGGCCATTACGGGTTCTGTCCAGACTCCTCGAGAACATCCAGGATACGAAAGACGATGATGCCAAACCAGGTTCCTCGCCATGGCACCTGCGTTCCGTTCCCGCGTGACCATGGTGTCAGGTCGACGCCGCCCTTAGGAACAGCCCTGCGAGTTGCAGCTCTGGTGAGAAATCCATGTCCTACCACAACGTGTTTCTTCCTCCGAGCAAGTCCTCTGCTCTCTTACAAGCATGCGGGGGGCAGGGCACAGGAAGGCGCGAAGGGTGTGCCCTGTGCCCTCGTTGTTGTGGACAGCAACATCCTTGGTTTGCCATAGTCTCACGTCCGACTGTCGTCAGGTCTGGCGGGTCACAACCATTCTTTCCTCGGCAAGTACGGAGTTGGTGCATGCCTGACGCCTGCGAGTGTGAAGATCAAGAACGACTCGTCCAACCCCACGTATGGTCCTCAACTCACCTGCTCTAAGTGAGATCGGGAGGAGGCGGAGGAGGTGACCTCTTGGTGGCGGCAGGTACTGGCTACGGAGGATGGGGCTGATGCAGACTTCCGTGTCGTCTCAATGCCACAAGGCAGAGCAGAAGTCATCAAGTGAGAACCGCTCCTCTCCCCTTGCAGTCACCTGACGGTGTTGAATTGCAAGAGCCCAAGTCCAATGTCAAGTTCTCTGCTTCAACCAAGAGGACTCGTCGCCGTTTGACTGCCCATCATCATGCCTGTGAGTTGAATACTCAGCAAACTCTTTCTGTGCTACTTTCGTATCCTTTTTTTGCGCTTCTGCTGCGCTTGCTTCCGCATCCTGTTCCTAACCTTGTCATTGCTTCTTGTCACCCATTGCTGAAGTTTTGTTGGGATCCTCTAGTGCAAGAAACCACGAAGCTGAACTGCTCTGTCATCCACGAGACGAAACAGCATGAGAAGTGCGAGGAAGAGCTACACCAACGCCTCATGCAGCCTCGTCGTGGATCAGAGGGCAATACATGCACTGAGGATAACGCTGGTGAACAAGCAGGTGTCACCAGGAGAAAAATGGTAGGAAGATTTGATGAGTGCAGGTCAAGTTATCGTTTCACTCTCTTGATAGGATCAGGAGTCTCCTCAAACTACGGAGGAAGTGCAAGTAAAGGCGAGCCACCACAGGTAAGTCATGATCTCCTGCTTCACTTCCTCATCGCACAACTCTCTTCCTCATCTCCTTGCATCATGATCATGTTCCTAATCATGATGCAGCGATGCTTCAGCGAGTGACGTCGGCAGTGTGGATCTGTGCCTCACGCCTGCAAGGTACTGCTGACGCTGACGCTGATGCTGATGCTGATGCTGATGCTGCTATTGGTGGTGGTCTGAATGAAACGCAGTTCTTGTGTTGCTGCTGGAAGGATGTCGTCCTCAGTCAGGTTTGCAGCCTCTCGATCCCTCCAAGATTTGATTAATCTATCTCCAAAATTTCTCTTCTATCTGCTCCTGCTGCTGCTTCTGCTGCTGCTGCTGCTCCTCCTCCTCCTCCGCTCTATCCTCCTCCTCCTCTTTTCCCTCCTCCTTCTCCTCCTTCTCACTTGTCATACTCAGTGAGTGTGGGGACTCGTGGAGCGTCGCTTCCGGCTCTCAATCATCGTCATTCTCTTTGATCTCAGCCCTTCAGCTGGAGTCCAGTACTTGACACCTTCTCTCCTCCTGCCTCTCATCTTCTTGACAGTCGATGGAACTGGCGCCCAGGAAGGACCGAGCAGGGAGGCCGCGATGTACCGAGCCGTGCTGCTGATGTCAGACGGGGAGGTTGAATGATCGAAGTCAACGTAGCTGCTGTTGCTGCTGCTGCTGCTGCATTGTGAATCAGGTCGAAGTTTCTTCGCGGGACTTCATTGATTGTCGACCTACCATTACGATGAAGTGGGTCTTAGGACGTACATGAGAATTCCTCCAGCGATTGCAACGTTGAGACTCTCCATATCCCCGCTGAGCTCCACCCCTGTCTTCTCCCATCCCGCACTTCTCTTGACCTCCTCCTCAACCTCCACATGCAGCCCGTGAGCGGGACAAGGACACTTGCTTCCCTCTCTTACCTCTGGTGAGACTCCAGAGCCTTCGTTGCTGAGGACGAGGAAGAGGCGGTCGGCTGTTTCAGAATCACAATAGCTCCTTCAGCAGGAGGGGAGTACTACCGCGCACAAAGTCCTCCGGCGCTCTCCCGTTCATGTCGGCAACCAGCACTTTGGCTCCTTCTGTTGTTTACCATGAGGAATCAAAAACATCTTCCTGGGAGGGCACAAAAGAGGAGGAGGGGGAGGAGGAGGGAGGAGCCTTTGCCTGCTGCTGCGGCTTCTTCCTTGAGTAGCGCGGTGTCGCCGTAGCACACGCCCAGCCTCCACTGAGCTCCTCTGGCTGCCCGGATGGCCTGCAGTGCGGGATCACAGGCCCTCCACATCCTCCTGCTCACCTTCTCATTGAAGGGATCGCTGCAGCCATCTAGCAGGAGAGCAGCATCCCACCCCAGTCCTGCTGCCGTCCGCAGAAGCGTTCCGAGGTTTCCTGGATCTTGAATGCGATCGAGGACGATGATGCGCTTGGACGTACGGAGATCGCACTGGAGGAGGAGCATGCAGTGAGGTAAATCGAGCCATTTCCTCAAGCCAGGACAACACTGGAGCGTCAAGGAGGCCCACTCAACACAAGTTTGCTGTCGTAGAAGAGGGAGAGAGAGGATGCTACTGGTCATACGGAGAATTGAAAGTGACCTGCTCAGGTAGTCCTATCTCTGCCAGGACCTGCCTTCCCTCTGTCGTCTCCAACCCTGAGATCTGTGACAAGGTAACGGAGCTATTGTCAGGTTTCCCCGAGTAAGTCTCACCTTTCGGAACACGTCAGGAGAGACAACGATGACATCAGTTGTTGGTGGCAAGGAGAGTCTGTCTATCAGGTCCTGATGCCAGAGATCCTGGTCCTCTTCCACAAGAACAAGCAGCTGCATTCGTCGTCAACCGTGACATAGAGACAGAAAGTTCATCTTTCCTTGATCTCCGAGCGCGCTTGTGATCGAGGACCGCAGATCTCGAGGATGGGATTCATGCCTGTCACGACGGCGCTGCCGCTGGTCTTCCGATACTTGCTCTGCTCTCTGACCTTCACCAATCGTTTTGCAACTGCGTTCTGCAGCGAAGTGACGACTGGTCCGAAATTTCGTTTCTCCGAAGCCATAGCGTATGGAACATGAATGCCTTGGCACCTCCTGCGCCTGCTGAAAGGTCAAGAGAGCGAAGTGTTTCTTGCCAGCTGTTGCTCACAGTGCTCGGCTGTCTACATGCGAATTCCCTTGGTCCCGGCGGGGTTGCAGATGGATGGAGGAAGGGTTGCTGACAAACAGAGGCAGCATGGTCGCCGATGGCATGCTGGCATGTGACGATGATGACAGGGAGGAGAGACACGTCGAAGCTGAGCAAAGAAGGAGATAGAAGAGGACCAGGAGCGGGGTTGGGGCTGGGAGCCGGGGGGTCAGGAGGACGCGGCTGGAACTGTGGAGGAGATGCGGCATTGGTCGCATCGAGCCAGGCATCGGACCCGGGGCTAGCCGGGCTCTCACCTCCGGAGGGCGAGTCACTGAGCCGACCTGGGGCGCATTTATTTTTGGCCCCTTCTAAAAGGCAAGTTTTGACTGGGACCAAGGTTCTCAAGAAGTGTTTTAAAACAAAATATGTTTTAAAAACCTCTAATTGTATCAAGCTTGCCCCAGTGGCTTTGCTATACAAGTATAGGAGACATGAAACGTCTTTTACCCCCTGGTTATAAAGATTTGTCACTCTGCCTCAAGGTGGGTCGTAAACTGGCCTCCCTCCTTTGGTCCCTTTTGCTACCCCACAGCTTCCTTGCCATCCTTCTCAATCCTGCTGTCCGCTTGTTCTCTGTCTGCGTACCTCCCTCAACACAATCGAGTGATTGTTTCCATCACCAGTTGACTTCGCGCCTGCCATGCAGACTGGTTCAGCATTCCATCACAGTCTATGGAGCTCCTGGGCGGCTCCTCAATCTCAATCTCCTAACAGTTCAAAGAGCAAATCCATGCACAGCAATGGTGGTAGCTTGATTCCCCTGCTCCATGCTGGGATTGGAAAGAGCCGAGACACATCTCGCAGCAGAAAGCTCACCTCTGCAGTCGCTATCCGCATCTTCAAGGAAAGGTCTTCAGATGCTAACAGTAAGTTTGTAGAGAGCGAGGTGGTCGCGAGATGCTATGGCGTGAGTTCCAAGACCGTGCGAGACATCTGGGACAAAAAGTCGTGGGCGAGGTACACGAGTGGTTTGGAGATGAGGGTCGAGGCCAGAGAGGCAGAAATGTCTAAGAATGGGGAGAAAGCGCTGAGGTCGCTTGAGGGGAATATGAAGAAAGATGCTTTAGAGATCGAGAGAAAGCAAAAGAATATGAAAAATTCGTCCAGTATAGAGACGTTCCATGCTCCCTCGGATGGATACGACTGCAATGGCGCGATGTTGGGAGAGAGCAGCCAAGATTCTGCAACATGGATCTCGATGAGACGTGTGTATGGGGAACTCATGGGAGAGGAGGAGGAGGACAAGGACAAGGACGAGCACAACGAGGGAGATTATGTCAGAGAGGCGGTGGAGTGCTGGGACGAGCTTGCTGAGGCACCGGACGATGTGAGCGATTGGTGTGTTGACCCCAGGGAGGCAAGAGTTGACAAAGTTTGCTGAGGGACTGGAGGGTCAGAGATTTTGATTTTCGGGACAGCAATGACTGGAGGATGTTCCGATGGGGAGGATGGTCAACGGAATGCGTGTAAAGGAAGTACTCTCTAGAACCGTTCCAGGCAGAATGCTCAAGACTGTAGGTAAAATTTTCTTTTGCTGCACATTCCGGGAAGGTGTCTTGAATTTTTCATGCTCACCGCTCAGATATTTCTTTGCATTACATCACGTTTTGCCTTGCAGCAGTGCCAATGGAATAAAAGAGCCTCTTTTTCATCTTCCGTCTCCCCGCTTTCCACCTCTTCTCTCGCTCACTCATATTCATATGCTCGATTTCCTTTCACTTCGTCCGCACCTGATCAGATCCCAATCATCCCTTCCCCCCTCCTTCTTTCGTACATCTTGATCAAAGGATCATTTCGAACCTCGTGCGCTCCGCCGCTGATCTAATCCGGCCAGGTAGACGAGCAGAGGACGTGGCAACCAAAGAAGGGCAAGTAGAGGATGCAGGTGAAAGATGATGTGAAAATCAAGAGTAACCAGGAAATGTCAACTATTCATGGAGAGCTCATGAGTAGGCCAGTCTGCTCGCCAGAAGGCAAGAAACTATACAGCCTGGGTAACGAACTCCTGCCAAAAGATCAGTACTTGACGATGTCGCCCTTGTTTCGTCCTACCGAAACAAGGTCTGAAGGTGATGAAAAGCTTTCAAGCAGCTGATTCGAACGGGAGGCTACAAGCACATGAAAGCCGGACCTGTTGGAGGTGGGAAACTGCACTGTCGCAAGAATTCGTCTCCAACCCTCATCAGAGTCTTGAGGAAAGCAATCAAGCAGATGCTGCTGGGACTCTCAGCATCGAAGTCTGATTCAAACACCAAGACCCCATTTTCCATCAAGCATCAAAGTTCAACGCACAATCTTAGGTTTTCCGGTTTACTTCTGAGTCCTCTTTTAGTGATCGAGCTGAGCCAACAAACTAGCGTACTGAATTCAGGCATGACCCTAATCACCACCCACAATAATCTACATCCCTCAAATCTTCTTAAGCCTTAGCCTTGGCCGCATCTGCCTCCTTTGGCTCAAGGTACATGCGAGACGACAGCTGTCACCCAACATCGTTACTTGCAATCCTCCTCATACATCATCAAAAGCTTACCGGCTGCCCGTCATATGCGCACTCCAGGATGTGACGCAGCTCAGGCACCAAGGGGAAGCGGGGGTTTGCCGGAGTGCACTGGTCGTCGAAGGCGTGCTCAGCAAGGCTGTCGATCACCTTGTAGTAGGCGTCCTTGTTGATTCCTGCCTCAGCAAAGGTGGCTGGGATGTCAAGAGACTTCTTCAACTCAGAGATCCTCTGCTTGAACTTCTGCACAAGCTCGTAGTCCGAGTTCCCAGTGCATCCGATGGCCCTCGCCAGCTCAGCGTATCTCTGCTTCGCCAACGGGTGAGTGTACTGGGGATACACTCCCATGCGGGTCGGTGCATCCACAGCATTGTAGTCGATCACGTGCTCCATCAGGATGGCGTTGGTCATACCTGCGTAACATCATTAGTCCCGCTTCACCCTCTCACACACCCGCCGCTCGTGCTCACCGTGGGGGGTGTGGAAGGCGCCACCGATCTGATGAGACAAGCTGTGAGTGATCCCCAAGAAGCTGTTGGCAAACGCGATCCCGGCGATGGTAGAGGCATGGTGCACCATCTCCCTGGCACGGATGGTTCCATTCTTGTACGACTCCGGCAGGTACTCGAAGAGAAGCTTCACCGCACGAGTAGCATGCGCCTTGGTGAAGTCGTTGCTCGCAACGCTGACATACGCCTCGATGGCATGGACAAGAGCATCCACTCCAGCATTCGCCACCAAAGACTTGGGCAGGTTGTCGCAGAAGGCGCTGTCCACAATGGCCACGTCGGGAGTCATACGGTAGCTGAAGAGAGGGTACTTGTGGGTTCCCTCAGTGATGACAGCAAAGGGCGTGACCTCACTCCCAGTACCGCTGGTGGTCGGGATGCAAACAAGCTTGTGCACCTTGGATCCCGTGTCGGGGAAGGGGCAGGTTCGCTTGCGCAGCTCAATGAACCTCGCACCCACATCCTCCAGCTTCGCCTCGGGGTGCTCGTAAAACACTCGGATACCCTTGGCGGCATCCATCGGCGACCCGCCTCCAAGTCCAATCAACACCTCAGGCTTGAACTGCTCGCACGCCGCTGCGCCTGCTCGCACGCACTCGATCGTGGGATCCGGGGTGACCTCGTCAAATACCGCAACCTTGAAGCCAATCTGCTCAAGCATCTGCTGCACCTTCGCGCAGTACCCAAACTCCACCATCGCTCTGTCCGTCACAATCATGGCGCGCGTGTCCCTCTTCCCACCGGGGTACGGCTTAGCAAGATCTGCGATGGCCTCACGGGTACAGTTGCGATTGAAGTAGAGATTGGGAGGAGTCTTCATCCACTCCATGTGCTCTTGACGAGATGCCATCAGCTGCAAACAAGGCACGTGAGAAACAATCAAGGTCACACTCAACCTGTCACCTTGACGTTGATCAACGATGCCGGCGTCATGTTGGTAGCAATCGAAGATCCTCCAGTAGTGCCCACTCCCAGCGTCAGACTGGGTGGGACGTTGAAGTTGAACGCCGTCCCCACCGCAGCAATGCTCGATGGCACGTTGGCAAACAAGTGATGTGCAGGCATCGCTGCAGCAAACGCCGCAATCCTGTTCTCGTCGTTGGAATGGATCACAGCAGTGTGTCCCTCTCCACCAAAGTGGACGATGGATGCGCAAAGGTCTTTGGCCTCGTTGAAGGTCGGCGCGCGATACAGAGTCATCACAGGGCTAAGCTTCTCAAAGCTGAAGGGCTCATGAGGACCGACCTCCGAAGCTTCCGTCGCAATCACCACTGCATCGGGCGGGATCCTGATACCACACTTCTGTGCAATCGTTTGTGCTGACTGACCGACAATGTCTGGGTTGATTGCTCCGTTCTTGATCAAAAACTCTCCCAGCTTCTTCCTCTCCTCTCCGTACACGAAGTGAACGCCGCGCTTCTGAAGCAGGCTCTTGAACTCCTCAAAGATGCTCTCAATCACAACCGTGCTCTGCTCACTGGCACAGATCACACCGTTGTCGAAAGTCTTGCCCATGACAATGCTCGAGGCTGCCATCTTCAGGTCCGCAGTGTCATCCACAAGCACCGACGCGTTGCCTGCACCAACGCCCAGAGCCGGCTTGCCAGTGCTGTAGCTTGCCTTCACCATGCCGGGACCGCCAGTTGCGACAATCAGCTTGATGCCAGGGTGATCCATGACATGCCTATTCAGCTCCAGCGTGGGATGCTCGACGCAGTCCAGCACGTTAGGAGGAGCTCCTGCTGCAACGGCCGCATCTCTGCAGATGCGCATGGCCTCGTGTGAGCAGGCGGAGGCGCGGGGATGAGGAAGGAAGATGGCAGCATTACGAGTTTTCAAAGCAAAGAGAGACTTGATGATGACAGTGCTGGTAGGGTTGGTGCAGGGAGTGATGCATGCCAACGGTCCTACAGGCGTGGCGATCTTGATCAATCCTCGCTCGGTGTCACGATCGATGATGCCGCAGGTCTTCATGTCAGCATAAGCCGACACGGAGGTCTCAATCACCACGCCGTTCTTGATGACCTTGTCCTCCATCAAGCCCATCCTTGTCTCCTCCACGGCCAGCTTGGCAAGGGGAACGCGCTGCTTGTTGGCCGCATGGGCAACTTGACGAAAGATGTGATCGACCGTCTTCTGGTCGTAAGTGGCGAACATCGCCTGCGCTTCCTGGATGCGCTGGATCTTCTCATCGATGCTCTTGATGGAATCGTTGCCGATGAACCTCTTGCTGGCGGGGATGTACATCCTAGTCCGCCGTGTGGCCATAGCCACAGCATGCCTGCTAGACAGCATGTCGTCGCTCTTGCGTCTCTCCTTGGATTCAAGAATAAATACAGGTAACCCCTGTCATCAACGTTCCTACCCTACCCCTTCCGTATTCTTCGGATTCCTATCCCCACCCCCGTTGTACCCACGTCTTGTCTCCCCCTTCGATACCTCTTCCTGCTACCACCCCTACATCTTTTAGTTCCCCCGGCAGCTTTCCGCACCCCCTTCTGATAGGTATCCAATATCGGAGTACCCTACCCCTGTAGGTATCGCCTTTCACCACGTCACCCTGCACACATTCCCCATGCCTACAGCACACCCCCCCAAGTCACAGTTCTTAGTACCCCTCCGCTCTTTACGCCCCAAGGGGAAAGGTGGGGTGGATTCCCCAACGCACTATTGAACAAGGGGTACTGGAAAATTTACGATGAGTCTCGAGGCGTAGACGCGGTGGGGTAGGGGTAGGAGGCCTGCAAAGCGACAAAAAGCTCCTGTGGGGTGGGTAGGTAAATTCTTTTGACCGAGGTATAGGTAAACATAATTTCAAAGTTTTTATCTCAAAAATTGAAAATTGATCAAAGATATTGCTTTTTTCAGAAGATTCTCAAGTGTCTTATCATTCGTCCGAAAGGGTAGGGTAACCTTCACAAGGCAAGTTCCAAACAGTCATCAGAGGGGGTGGGGTACAGAAGCACCGGGTATCACCCACACGTGTAGGCTGGCAGTAGAGGTACCGGGACGTAGGTCGCTCATGGTAATTTAGAGGGGTCAATGGATCACCCTCCATGGCAGGGTACCCCACCTAGGATCATCTGGAAATTCTTTCCGCTGCAAGACGGGGTACTTTTCGGTAGAGGGAAGGGGTACTGACTACAAGAGGATGTCAGCAAATCCATGTCAGCAGTGACGTGCATAACCGTGCCCCGGGTCGTACAGGTCAGCTTCAAGGCTTGCAAGTACCAGTACTTTTAGTCTACCTGCTGCTAGTACCGTACCCTATCCACTCTGACTGCTACTGTTCTATCAGGCCTGAGAGTCACTAGTATTGAAGTTAAAAATCGGATGATCCGAGTGTCACCGTGACCTGAGTCGGGCCCCGGGGCCCGACACAGCCTGGCGGCGTCACGCCGTGACGCCTGGCGGCGCCTGGCCGCTGCTCAGCCTGAGTCCGAGCCCCGCCGGGTCTGGCGGCGATGATGATCCGAAGTTAGCCGGGCGGACCTCCACCGTGGGCCGTACACTTTACTCAAAGTAATGTTCAACCCGGCTAAACCGGGCGCACGTTGTTCCCTTCGGAACGGTACTTGGGTCCGTCGTGCCCTTAGTAACGCCGACCGGGGGGTCGCCGGGGGGCGGTCACTCAGCCGGGGGCAGTGCCAGGCATGCGGCATGCCGCGGCACTGCACTGAACTCAGGCTCGCGGAGGCCACTGGCCGGGCCGCCGCGGCGCAGATTCCGGCAATCGGGATGATCTGATCAGCCTGACTCCCGAGGGGCGCGGCCACTGTCATCATCATAGCATGATGTTCACTCTCAGTGGCCACGATTGCATGCCGCAGTGCCATATCATAGTCATGACTCACTGTGATGACTAAGCTCCGCCCGTGACCGCAATTAAAACTAGACGCAATTTCAAGTTTGCATAATTGAACTTTCGTGTATTCAACTTTGAATCCAAAGTCTTCATGTAGTGATCGAGCAAAGAACCGTCGAACATAACGATTAGCCGTTGACCCTAATCACCACCCACAATAATCTACATCCGACCAGCCTTTGGCCGATCCCTCTTTTAAGCCTTGGTCTTGGCCGCATCTGCCTCCTTTGGCTCAAGGTACATGCGAGACGACAGCTGTCACCCAACATCGTTACTTGCAATCCTCCCCATTCATCATCAAAAGCTTACCGGCTGCCCGTCATATGCGCACTCCAGGATGTGACGCAGCTCAGGCACCAAGGGGAAGCGGGGGTTTGCCGGAGTGCACTGGTCGTCGAAGGCGTGCTCAGCAAGGCTGTCGATCACCTTGTAGTAGGCGTCCTTGTTGATTCCTGCCTCAGCAAAGGTGGCTGGGATGTCAAGAGACTTCTTCAACTCAGAGATCCTCTGCTTGAACTTCTGCACAAGCTCGTAGTCCGAGTTCCCAGTGCATCCGATGGCCCTCGCCAGCTCAGCGTATCTCTGCTTCGCCAACGGGTGAGTGTACTGGGGATACACTCCCATGCGGGTCGGTGCATCCACAGCATTGTAGTCGATCACGTGCTCCATCAGGATGGCGTTGGTCATACCTGCGTAACATCATCAGTCCCGCTTCACCCTCTCACACACCCGCCGCTCGTGCTCACCGTGGGGGGTGTGGAAGGCGCCACCGATCTGATGAGACAAGCTGTGAGTGATCCCCAAGAAGCTGTTGGCAAACGCGATCCCGGCGATGGTAGAGGCATGGTGCACCATCTCCCTGGCACGGATGGTTCCATTCTTGTACGACTCCGGCAGGTACTCAAAGAGAAGCTTCACCGCACGAGTAGCATGCGCCTTGGTGAAGTCGTTGCTCGCAACGCTGACATACGCCTCGATGGCATGGACAAGAGCATCCACTCCAGCATTCGCCACCAAAGACTTGGGCAGGTTGTCGCAGAAGGCGCTGTCCACAATGGCCACGTCGGGAGTCATACGGTAGCTGAAGAGAGGGTACTTGTGGGTTCCCTCAGTGATGACAGCAAAGGGCGTGACCTCACTCCCAGTACCGCTGGTAGTCGGGATGCAAACAAGCTTGTGCACCTTGGATCCCGTGTCGGGGAAGGGGCAGGTTCGCTTGCGCAGCTCAATGAACCTCGCACCCACATCCTCCAGCTTCGCCTCGGGGTGCTCGTAAAACACTCGGATACCCTTGGCGGCATCCATCGGCGACCCGCCTCCAAGTCCAATCAACACCTCAGGCTTGAACTGCTCGCACGCCGCTGCGCCTGCTCGCACGCACTCGATCGTGGGATCCGGAGTGACATCGTCAAATACCGCAACCTTGAAGCCAATCTGCTCAAGCATCTGCTGCACCTTCGCGCAGTACCCAAACTCCACCATCGCTCTGTCCGTCACAATCATGGCGCGCGTGTCCCTCTTCCCACCGGGGTACGGCTTAGCAAGATCTGCGATGGCCTCACGGGTACAGTTGCGATTGAAGTAGAGATTGGGAGGAGTCTTCATCCACTCCATGTGCTCTTGACGAGACGCCATCAGCTGCAAACAACACACGTAAGAAACAATCATGGTCACACTCAACCTGTCACCTTGACGTTGATCAACGATGCCGGCGTCATGTTGGTAGCAATCGAAGATCCTCCAGTAGTGCCCACTCCCAGCGTCAGACTGGGTGGGACGTTGAAGTTGAACGCCGTCCCCACCGCAGCAATGCTCGATGGCACGTTGGCAAACAAGTGATGTGCAGGCATCGCTGCAGCAAACGCCGCAATCCTGTTCTCGTCGTTGGAATGGATCACAGCAGTGTGTCCCTCTCCACCAAAGTGGACGATGGATGCGCAAAGGTCTTTGGCCTCGTTGAAGGTCGGCGCGCGATACAGAGTCATCACAGGGCTAAGCTTCTCAAAGCTGAAGGGCTCATGAGGACCGACCTCCGAAGCTTCCGTCGCAATCACCACTGCATCCGATGGAATCTTGATACCACACTTCTGTGCAATCGTTTGTGCTGACTGACCGACAATGTCTGGGTTGATTGCTCCGTTCTTGATCAAAAACTCTCCCAGCTTCTTCCTCTCCTCTCCGTACACGAAGTGAACGCCGCGCTTCTGAAGCAGGCTCTTGAACTCCTCAAAGATGCTCTCAATCACAACCGTGCTCTGCTCACTGGCACAGATCACACCGTTGTCGAAAGTCTTGCCCATGACAATGCTCGAGGCTGCCATCTTCAGGTCCGCAGTGTCATCCACAAGCACCGACGCGTTGCCTGCACCAACGCCCAGAGCCGGCTTGCCAGTGCTGTAGCTTGCCTTCACCATGCCGGGACCGCCAGTTGCGACAATCAGCTTGATGCCAGGGTGATCCATGACATGCCTATTCAGCTCCAGCGTGGGATGCTCGACGCAGTCCAGCACGTTAGGAGGAGCTCCTGCTGCAACGGCCGCATCTCTGCAGATGCGCATGGCCTCGTGTGAGCAGGCGGAGGCGCGGGGATGAGGAAGGAAGATGGCAGCATTACGAGTTTTCAAAGCAAAGAGAGACTTGATGATGACAGTGCTGGTAGGGTTGGTGCAGGGAGTGATGCATGCCAACGGTCCTACAGGCGTGGCGATCTTGATCAATCCTCGCTCGATGTCACGATCGATGATGCCGCAGGTCTTCATGTCAGCATAAGCCGACACGGAGGTCTCAATCACCACGCCGTTCTTGATGACCTTGTCCTCCATCAAGCCCATCCTTGTCTCCTCCACGGCCAGCTTGGCAAGGGGAACGCGCTGCTTGTTGGCCGCATGGGCAACTTGACGAAAGATGTGATCGACCGTCTTCTGGTCGTAAGTGGCGAACATCGCCTGCGCTTCCTGGATGCGCTGGATCTTCTCATCGATGCTCTTGATGGAATCGTTGCCGATGAACCTCTTGCTGGCGGGGATGTACATCCTAGTCCGCCGTGTGGCCATAGCCACAGCATGCCTGCTAGACAGCATGTCGTCGCTCTTGCGTCCCTCCTTGCCTGCAAGGTATATATATAAACAACCCCCTCACCTATTAGTTCCTACCCTACCCCCCAACTCCTCCTTTTGGGATTTTTCTCAAACCTACCCCTTTAAACTCCACCCAAAACCTGACTCTACTACCCGTGTACAGATCCGATGTTTGTCAGCACCCCTCCCGTTCCTGTTAACAGGAACCTATTCTACAATGGAGTACCCTACCCCTACAGATGTCACCCTCTACAGCGTCAACCCTTCCGAGAACAGATAATTCTATCTGTCGTACCCCTATTCTTCAGTTGCCTGTAGCCCTCAGAATGGGGGTAGTAGGTCATGCACGGGTATCACTTTGCCTCCCCCGTCTTCCCACCCTACCACAACTCTCCATTCTCCCACCCCACCCTCCCCTATCACATCCCACCCTTTTGACTCACCCTCGTTATCGTTACGCCCCAAGGCGGAAAGGAGGGGTGAATTCTGATTGCACACTGGGAATCATGGTGGTGGGGTACTGGGGCATATTGATGAGACTCGAGGCGTAGACACTGACCGGACGTGTAGTTTTGTAACTTCAAGTTTATTTCAACAAAATTTCAAACTTATACAATTGTAATTAAAACGTTCATGGTTTCAACCGGGTCGGATTGATCAACAGTCAATGAAGAGGGGTGGGGTGGCCCGTTTAAAATATAGTGACGGACACATCTGACACGAAAACACTCCATTTGAAGAAATACAATCTTTTTCCAGCGAAGATACCGATCTCGACTCGAAACCTGCCGCGGACCGGCAGTACTACCGTGGGCCCGCCGACCCCGCCCGGGCCCGCGGCCGGCCGGGGCCCGGCGGGCCGTTCTGTGAGACTCAGTGACAGTGCCTGAGTAGTTCAAATCGCACCATGCAAAATGCTCACCCGCGGCTACAGCAAACCGGGCACGCACAGAGCGACATGAAATGTCTCCCTAGAAGATGCTTCGATCCTCTCCCTAGAAGATGCTTCGATCCTCTCCCTAGAAGATGCTTCGATCCTCTCCCTAGAAGATGTTTCGATCCCATGCGTTTGATGTGGTGTACTCCTGAAAATACTTCAACGCGATCCTTTCCTGCAATGTGTTTGATGAGTCACTCCGCACATTCCAACCCACAGTGCCTAGTTGTTTTCCTCACTTAATTCTTCCATGTCAATCTCATATCCTTCATGCCCTGCCACTCACCCGCATGGATTCCTTGCCTGCTCCCCTCTGGGTGACTTAGAATCACTTGATGAATGATGCCTCTCGAGACCTTCACCACGGAATTTTCACATGGATTGATCTCGATGTTGATGTGAACTGCTTGCTCTTAAAATTCAGCTCACACTTGATGAGTGTGGAGAGGTGGAGCTGCTTTTGAGAGAGTTCAGGATAATGATCGTTGTTTCTTAATGCCGCAAGGATGTTTTTCGCCGTGGACGGTTCCGTAGCAATCATGGACATTGCAGATTACATGTGAGGCTCCGCTGATAGACAGCATGGATCAGGTGCATGAAGCAAGGAGTGGCAAGACTTTGATCATCTGCCGTTTGGAACTCATCTCCTCGTGCCTTTTGAAATGAGCACCATGCGCGTCGCCTTGTTGCTGCTCGTAGCCCTGGCGGTCTGTTTGGTTGATTCACACCTGCTGGGCAACAGGTGGAGGCTTGTTGGAGAAGGTTAGCTTCATCGCTCATGCCCTTTTGCAGTGCTGTAGCGAAAGCTGCTGATGTGAGCTCGGAGCTGAGAGTGCAGGGGGGAAAGAGAGAGGCATCAGTTCCTGTGCTGCTTTGTCAGTGCGTGATTTCCCGCACAGGCACATCTCAATGCCGTTGCCAGCAGGAGAAGCTCGATCTTTGGCATGTCGGGCATTACCTCCAGTCTGCAAGCATGTGACCTCCTGCTGCTCGTGCTGCTCCATGACAAGCTGACCCCTTCCTCCTTCAGGTGTCGCAGGTGTCGCTTCTGCCATGCGGCACGTCGAGTTGCCCAGGAGCATTGCGATCATAGCCTTGTTCCAGATTGTCTGGAGTGCTCATCGTATCCTGCGGCGAGAACGAGCAGCGAAGCCTGGCATCATCCATCGCATGCTGGAGGAGGACCTCTGCCTCATCCTCGGCAGCGGTCACCTCAGCCGTCCTGCTTGCGTGTGTGTGGACTGGGAAGGGAACGTGGTCACAGTGAACAGCAAGGAGAAGCGCATGCTGACTGTACATGAGGATGGATCGATAATGAGGGATGTGCCTGTGCCTGAAGTGAAGTGCGCGTGGGGGCTCAGCATGATGAAGGGGGGGGGAGTTGTCGTGGTCGACGCCCAGCGGCATGCCGTCCTTGTCTACAGCAAGAGCGGGAAGCTGGAGCAGGTGATTGGGAGGAAGGGTGATGGAGCAGGAGAGCTCAACGGTCCGCGGGGGATCGCGGTGGACGGGGAGGGAAACATCATCGTGTCGGATACCAACAACCACAGGGTACAGGTCTTCTCCAAGGACGGGCAGCAGCTGCGAGCGTTCGGGCGGTGGGGAGGGAAGGAGGGAGAGCTCAAATTTCCTCACGGGGTTGCAGTGGATGGAGCAGGGAACATCGTGGTGGCGGACAACGGAAATCACCGGCTGCAGCTCTTCTCGCCTAGCGGGAGCTTCCTGCGCGTATTGGGGAGGGAGGGAACCGGGCCTGGCGAGCTCGAGCGTCCTGTGGGAGTGGCCGTCGGCGAAGGAGGGAAGGTGTTGGTCACCGACTGGTACAAGAAGAGGGTGCAGGTGCTGGACTCTGCGGGCGGGTATGTCACGAGCATCGGGGAGGAGGCGCCGGTCAGGCCGGTCAGGCCGGTCGGGGTCTCGGTGGATGGGGGAGGGAACGTGTTGGTGTGCGACTGGACGGGGGAGGAAACGATCGGATCCTCGTCTTTGGCCCTAAGTGAAGGGAGGGCACGCGCAGGTGATTTGGCAGGTCGCTTCATGCTATATTGGTAGCAAGAAGCTTCCTGTTCAGTATACGATGCACCAAAGACCCAGGACCAACTGCTGCTGCTGCTGCTCCACCACCACCTACTCCACCACCACCACCACCACCACCTCCTCCTCCTCCTGCTTCTGTTGGGGCGGTTATCTTTCTTGTGTTTCCCTGTCCATGGCCGCCAGCATCGGAGTGAGGAGAGAAAAAGCTTCTCTCGTTTCTCCTCTCCCCCAATCTCACTCGCTCTAGAGTCACCGTGACCAACCTCCCCTGCTCAGTCGTTCAGCAGAAGGTAGAGGAAGGGAGGCGAGGCGAAGTGGGGGCAAGAGCAGCAGCAGCAGCAGGGGGAGGAGGAGGAAGAGCAGGAAGAGGTGCAGGAGGGGCGAGAAAGCGCTTGAAGGGGAGCAGGAGGCTCACAGATCTCTTCCTCAGGGTCAGGTCGACAGTCTTGCCAGCAGGGCCCTGGAGCATGCGCTCTACATTGATGTCGGTGAGGACGAGGCCGTCGGCAGCTACGAGGACGTCTCCTCTTCCGATCTGGTTGGAGGCTGAAGCAGGAGAGGCTGAAGGAGGAGCATCAGGAAGACAGAAGACTGCGCAAGGTGGGGGCGAGCGAGGAAGAGCA